ATGGCGCAGTAAAAATATGAAGTCAAAGCAAACCGAAAATCAAAGAGGGTTTTTAGATTATTATGATCAAGCTGCTTTTTTCCCTCCACACACTGCTGTATTATACGGTACTGTGGTTGGAGCTGAAAGACATCTGAATAATAAAACGTCTGCAGTGGCTGCCATATGCCTGGTATAGCCTCAATAACCTCTGCCCTGTGCACAGAATATGCACTTACTAATCTAGCCTTGTATGAGCTGCGCCGCAGACAAACCACACTTTTACAGCATGGGACGCTCACATTATGGGTCATCACCTCAAATGACAATACATCGATCGCACAGAGGACAGGCTTTGGGGAGAGAAAAAAGTACTGTACACAAGGACATAAATAGCCATTTCAGATTTTAACAGTGACAAGAAGCCAGCCAATTGCAGGCTCTATTTTTAGGTGTGCCGGTGGCCTGAGGCTGGCAGCTTTGAGAAGGATGTGTACTTTTCTACAGTTCCTTCCCAAAAATCAACGCTGTCCTCGCTGGCGACAATCACAGGGCAGCTGTTGTGGCTAGGTGGCCCGGCCCCAGCTTGCCTCACCCTGCTGCTTTGTGCCAGCCTAAGAAAACCGTCTTTGCTACCCAAAATTCACACCCAGCCTGCAAAAACAGGCCGGAAGGTAAACACAAAAGCAAATGTGACTCGATGTGTTTGCATCCGGTGAAAATTATGGAGTTTTATCAACGCTGGTGGCGGTAGGGGCTGCATTTCTAAATTTACATGAGGCAGGATGCCTCGGAGCCAATTTATCTTCAAAAAAAACAAAAACAGACAGAGAAAGAGAGAGAGACCTAAATGACCTTCCTCCACAGGTCACAACTGATAATGGATAACTGAAATAGGCACTTTTTGGCAATTCTTAAATTGATGTCATGTCAAACCCGACTTTAATTTCCTGAAACCTTTTGAACATTACAGTGAAGTCAAACTTTCTCCAAAGGGAAAAAGCGGCTCCTTTTTATATATCTTACCACAGGTAGACACTATCTTTTTCAAATGTACACACACACCTAGACACGCACACACAGAGTTAGGCATCCCTGTGTGGACTAATTGTTGACAGGTGGCCCTAATGTTCTCCTTTGAAACCAAAGTGTGATTTACGACCACGCTCCCCGAGACCCCGGCTTTCAGCACCGCTACTACAAACTTATCTTTTTCTCCCTGCTTCTGTCGCCTACCTCCTCCCACTTTTATTCCTTCTGCTCTATCTCTTCTTCATTTTTCCTCAATTGCACCTCATTACTTTGCTAAGTCACTTTCACCTCTGAGCCCACTTTGATGTTTCTGTGCTTCTCTGTCTCTCATCGCAGCACAGCAGTGACTCTCCAGACATCCTTTTAATGTTTGATGAACTATTTTTCACACCGTGGAGGAATGTGTCCATGCATGTACGTGTGTGTGTGTGTGTGTGTGTGTGTGTGTGTGTGTGTGTGTGTGTGTGTGTGGTGGGGAGCTACACGAGGAAGACAGGAAGGACAAAGAAAGCAAGGGCACTCAGGAGAGTGTATGTAAGACCTGACCCTGAAACCTCATGTGCCAGTCCAGCATCTTCGATCAACTATTTGAAGACTTTTGGGCTGCACAATGCTGGGCGTAGGATGAGAGACATGGATCATCTATAATATTTATGGCAATTATTGCTATTATTCAGAAAAATAGCCTGTGTTCAATATTGTGAAACACCTAAAAATTGAATGGATTTCATTATAACGACGCTAAACCCTCCAAATATTTATTCTGTCTTTTAGCAGTCCAGCCGATTGACCTCGAGCAGCAGTAATCTGCTATAGTGCCCAACAAACTCAAACACATTTTCAAATACGTGTTTTTAAACTGTGTATAATTTGCACAAACAAACAGACAAAGGTAAAAGACTGAGACCAGACTACGGTGTCACATTTCTGCCGTATGTGAGCATCCAAGTAGTCCAGTGATAGGAATCGGTGCCTCCACAGCAGCAACCGATAATATGGTATGAAACAGTGTTTACGTTGATGCCACAGTGTAACGCACTTACTGAAGCAGTAAATCACGGAGGGTGTGACTGCACTCAGAGTGACCAATCTTAGCAGACGAGCAGCCGTACCTCATGAACCACAGCAGCAAAAACAGGAACAGGAGAGAACAGCATCGAATCAACTGAACTCAGAACTACAAGGCTTGTAATGCCTCTGGGTTAAACAGATGTTTCATATTGACAGTTCAAATAAGTGAACGAAAAACACTGCAACAACATCCACTGAGCTAATAACATCCAGCAAAAGATAAAGTGAGGTGAGTTCATCTGATATGGCATTGGGAATACATCAGATAAAAACAAAAAGCCTGGTCACAGGATACAGTGAGAAAATTGTTAGATATGATAAGACACGATTTTAAATATTTATCTTCCAACTGCAAGAGGTTAGGTTCAAACAAAACTGCCCCTCTAAATATTTTACTTCAGCACATTAACACTTTTTGCTGGAACACAACGTGGGATAAATAACAGTGTCTCTCTTAAATACAAAGAAAGATGTGTACATATCCAAAGGAGTACACTGCTCTGTGGAACAGATCACACATCTGCTTGCATGACCTTCACTTTTGAAGTTAACGAACTGCTTGTTACAGTATTTTAAAGTTCAGGAGCTTGTTTCCACGGCAGTAAGATGAAAAGTATGTCACGAAAAAACATGACTTAAGTTTTCAAACCTCTTCTACTATAGCATGCAGAATTACCCACCAATCGATTCCCAGTCATGTGGTTCTCTGAAGTGTTTATCAAGTTATCCACCCGCTACTGGCAGCAGCACATTTATCAAAGCTCAGCGATATTCCAGGAAGACCATGACTCATAGAAACTGTGATAATTTACTCCCAGTAACACCTTTGGGGTCAAACAGTGCAGGTTACACAAAGTCTGTATTTATCAGCGTGCATCTTTGCCAGAAAGGTACACACAGCTAGTGTGAGTGGCCTGCAATAGTGTTTGACAAACAAGGGAGACAAGGTTGTGGCAGAGTCCCTGGAAAAGTGGCTCTTGTGACAACCAGTGACTGGAAACACAAACACACATGCACACAGACACACACAGACTCCACTGCAGCAATCTCTAACCTGAAGTAACACTCCATTTAGCTCACCATTTTTATATCGCTGCACAATCACGACAAAACACTTGCAGACGGAGAGATACTTGCTGAAAAAGAGCGACTGTCGTGCTCACAGTCGTCATGTGGACAGAAACACATCTCTAGGTGAATGCAAAGGTTGCCCCCTCCCTGCCTAACGTGTTAGAGGGTGGCAAGAGGGGATGGGCAATAAGTCTACGCCGTATGTACGCAGTAACTGCAGACCCGTCTGAAGACCTGTGTCGTCACCGCTGTCCCAGGAATGTCACCAACTGTTGCGTTAATGGAGGCCACAGCTACTGTGATTGGCCTGCTCAGTACAGTTGTTTCCTCTTATGCATTTCTGCTGCAGTTTTCAAAAGGAACTGTGAGAGAAAAATAACCGTTGCCTCAAATATAAGGAACAACAATCATACCCTCAATACAAGGACTCGGAGACAACAGCAGATTCCTGGTTGGAGATTTCATGTCTGAACAAACAACATACAGATTTGCCTACGGAAAAAAAAACATGACCACAACAAAGTGTGGGGACCCAGGAGGGAAAAGGCCCAGTACTGCATTTGTTTCTATTATGGCTAGAACAGCATATAACACCAGGCCACAGCCACAAGGTAATTAACACATAAAACACCACCCACAAGTATAAATGCTGGGAACGGCATTGGCCACTTGGTTAGGTTATATCTTAGATTATACAAAGATTCTCTGCAGAAGTTGAAAAGAGTGTAAGTGAGCAACACTAACGTGGCCGCTAAGGCCTTACTAACAAAACCTGCTGTTTGTAAACTATGTTGTTGATGTAATTGTCAACTGATCATTAAAAACAGTCAACCTGAAGCATTTTAATATGTTCGTCTGAAACAGGTCTGTGTTGTAAATGAGACAGAGTCTCAGTGGAGCTTCCTGTATAAATAAAGGTTCAATAAATCAAAATTAAAAATGAATCTGACAACAGGTAATTTAAGTCATTTATGATGTAAACACATTACACACTGATTTCAGCACTCGGTATGTGAGGATATAACTGTATCAAAACTTCATGGGTCAGTATGTACCTTATTTTTGAAGTTGCGAAAAGTAAATGAGTAAACTAACAGAAACACGTTTTTGGATTTCCTGTTAATTTATATAAACTCTCTATGACGTTTGCTGCCAGATTAAATTATTCTCAAAAATGGGGGCTGGAAAAAAACCCTCATAGAGAGTCTAATGAACTTTCGAGGCTAAACTTCCAAGTATATCACAGCTGGTAAACAGTTCTGGGTGGAATCCGTGGTCTGTTCTAAGGATGTGAATGTGTCAACATAACCAGACTAGATGAGAATTACTGTTTAGTTCACAGAGATTACAGAACTGAGGAAGCTGCTTGTCGTCTAGTTTTGGAACAATCATGTATTACATCACGACTAACACATTTATTACTCACTGTGACAACTCACTAATATACAGAGTGTATCAAAAAGAATAATCCAGTTTTAAAAAGCTCTATTTTTTAAGAAATGGACATAGAAGCCAAGTAAGTAATTTTTGAAACATGTGGCTGAATATAAAGTTTTACATACAAAACTCAAAATGTTCACAGGTGCTCAGTGTGTCCCCTCTGGAAGCGGCATATGTCCACACAGTACTCACACCCGTCTGAGCATGTCAGGAGTCACAGCTGTTGCTATGCTACCAACCGGCAACCACTTAAAACTCCTAAATCTGCTCTTCCTAACAGTTTTCATTGTTACCAGTTGTGTGTATGTATTCTTCTGACCACAACTCTACTGCTGAGACGCCAACTTGGACTTCTAAAACTGAAACATCAATAAGCGTCTCACTTCTTCACCCTCCCAGCTCCTTACCATGTAATGGAGACCCTGAGGGGCTACTGGACAGGCCAGGTATGGGGCTACAGCGCCCACCGATGCCTCCTCCACCTAAGATGCAGCCACTTCCTGCGAGACTTCCTGCTCCTCCTCCTAAAGCAGCTGCCCTGTTCAGCTCCTGTTCAATCTCCTCCAATCCAGCGCTCTTTTGAAAGCGCGACATCCGGTTTACCACACGTGGGGACATGTGAGTCCGGGCACACGGTGCACCGCCGTAGGGGTTGATGGGAAATACATGTGTGGTGCCACGGAGGGTGCTGACGGCTACCCAGCGACTGTCCTGGCTGAAACACATGTCCTGTACCTGGATCCAGACAGGTGGAAAAAAATCACAGACAAAAAACAGAGCAGATAAATGTCACACCATAAGCATAAGTAGTGGAAATGTTGACACATACCACATAAAACTTTCTTTCTGAAAATTCCATTAAAGTGTAGAGGCTGGTCGACGTGTAAAAACTGGAGAGAATGTTTTTGTGTTAGTCTAAACCATCTCACGTCCTCAGGGATCAGTCATTGGGCATCTTTTCTCTGTATCTGCAGCCCCTCAGTTTCATTCTTAGAAGCCACTTCTATGTGGATGATCCTCGGGTGCATACGCTCCTAAAACAGAACGGTGCCTACTCCATACAAACTACACACCGAGTGACTTGAGAAACTAAGTACTTGGAGGGCGGTAAACCTCCTAAATTTTTGGTCCTAATATCACTGGTGGGATGGCTCTGGGACAGTGTGGAAAGCCTACTGTCCCAAACATGGGTTCACAGTGGACCTTGATTTTAGATTTGCTGGTCAGAGAAGGTACAGTGTTGAAATGAAGCTTCTTTCAGCTGAGACAGTTGGCAAAGATAAAAAGCTTTTCCACACTGGCATATTATCATTTGTGCACAATTCAAAATAATCCCATCTGTGAATATGGTCTAAGAGAGAGGCCTGGGCTTCTCTGCTGTCCCTGGGACCCAGACCTGTGGCAGAAAGTGGATGGATGGTCTCAAAATAACTTGATGAATGTGTAAAATATATTTACATGCCTGCGTATTTTATTCAGCACAGAAACATGGACGCAAAAGTAAACTACTCCAAAGTGCAACTAACTCTAGTGTGACTGGGCTATAGTGTTAATCGCAGAGATCAAGAGATATGACTGAGATGTCGACTAGCCTGACAGAAACAGACAACAGTTTTTGCAAGAGGTGACAATAAGATATGAGATTGTTTGGCGATAAAATAAATGACCAAGAAAAATGGCATCCTTATTTAGTTGCTCTTCTCCAACACTCAGGGAGCAGACATTCAAGAGAAGATAGGATCTCCCCGAGCACGTCAGACATGCAGGAAACCAGACAAATAGGCTGCATGAGACAATACAAGCACTGGAGAGTGGGAGCGAGAAAATGAAAAGACAAAGAGATAAGGTGACAGACTGATGAAATGATTGTGCGCTGAAACTGCATCTATCACTTGGCATGCCTTTAAAAAAATTAAAATAATAATAATACATATATCTATTATATCTATATGGCAGGCTGGAGAGTGTAGATCCAGGAGAAAGTTTACAAGAGGAATGCCTGACTCCTCAGTCAGCCAGCCAAAGAGAAAGCTCTGTCCCTCCAGGCCTTTCTAATCTTTTGCCAGGTCAGACGAGGTAATTGTCCCCAGCAATGACAGTTAATGGGGCATCCTCTGCATACCAGACAGTTACTTTACTTTACAAAGATGACTGAAAGAGGAGGGCTGACCTCTGCTGTAGCTTATAAGAGATGACTCGGAGATGAGAAAGGGCTACTTTGTGTGTGTTGTAATTGGTCATAATAGACCTGTCAGGGCTCCAACAGTAAATGGGTCCTGAATATCATGGCCAAATCCATTTCGATCAGGTGGGGGATTACCTGAAGGGTGGCTATAATTGTACTTTCATGGTGTGACAACCATCCACATATCAAACATTTGTCAAATGTTATCTCAAAAAGGCGGAATGCATCTGCTTTCAGTCACATGCAAGGGCTGATGTGGAGGTAGCACATTCCTGAAAGACTGGATAGCTCTCCCTTGTATTTTCCAACAAAGTACTTGATGACATGTGTGACAGTCAGAAGATGATAAGACGAGTTTAATGCCTTTGTTTTTCTTTTTAAATCAGTCACACCACGTAGTGAAGATTAAGCATCTCAGCTGACCTGAGAACAAGTCTGAAAGAATGACGAGAATGTGACAAAGATGTGACCAGATAAACACCTCTCACATGGAGGCGTGAGATGGACAATTAACGAGGGTTTATGTGGTCGTTAGCATCGGACGCCTCATCCTTCTCACTTTGACAGACTAACTATGATTACAAAAGTTACATAACAGGCCTCTGTTTGTCAATATTGTTACGGCAACCTAATTTGATCTATAACGATGGAAAAGCACTGTTAACTGTGAGCAGAAGCGTAATAGATTTAAACAGATCCATAAGTGTGTAAATGCTTTTAAACAATGTGCATATACTAAAGATGGCTGATGTGGGTTTTGAACACAAATGTCTTCTTGGGACTGGAGCTGCTGCTTTGTGTCAGAACTACAAGTTTAGATCATTTCCACTGCTTCACAAGAAATATCACAACATTAAAACAAGATGTTTTTAACATTAAAGTCAGTAAGGTTTTTAAATATTGACATATAATTGGCAAATACTCAAATCACATGTTTGCACAAGAAGCCTGGTTACTCTGTGAAAGTAGGTTACAAAGGAAATCTGACAGTGACAGTCTGTCCCCAAAAACTCCATTTACACAGTGATTAGAATGTAAATAAACACATAAAAATACATTTTACATAATGAAACAATGGAAAGGCAACATGTCAACTGCTAAAACTCTTAAAATCTTTTTTTTTTTTTTTTTGCAATAGAGGCAAAAAATGGAGTTTTGTGCTGCTTAACAAAACACAGTGGAACATCTAACAACTAAAATGTTAATATAACTAGTAACATCTTAGTAACATGACTGGATATATATAAATAAAAGTACCCCAGAAATGAGGCAGAGAAGGGAGGGGTTCACCTCTCTTGTGTGGGCAAATAGATCAGCTGTTTCAAGAATAACATTTCTCAGTATTAAACTGCAAAGAATTTTGCTTTTATTATCTAAGGTACATAACATCGTTCAACCATTCAACGAATCTGGAGAACACAAAGAGTGAACATCAGTCAATCAGTATGAAATGCTGCGACCTGAGGGGCCTGAGGGGCATTAAAAATCAGATCTCAGAAACACTGAAAACCAATATTATGCAGGTTCAAACTACTTTATGCAAGTTAAGAAAACAGTAAAGCAGCTTCTTTCTTTAGGCCTGAGCTAATGTGTGAGGGAAAGTGGAATTTCAAATTGTTTTTGAAGATCACGTATGACATGCCGAGCATTATAAAGAAGAGAAGGCCATATGGGTGCATTTGTGAATTAATACTAATGATATACACATATATATATATACGTATTACAACAGTATGTCTGAGAGTCTGGTTGCTTAACTGGCGTTCTTTCAGACGTCTTACCTGTTGAAAACATGTGCTGCATTACTACAATTCAATGTTATTTATACAGCACGAAATCATGAAAACAATCACCTCAAGGTGCTTAATATTCTTAATAAGCACCCTACAATAATATAGAAACAATCAGACAACACCCTTTGAGCAAGCACTTTGGCGAAAGTGGGAAGGAAAAACTCCCTTTTATCAGGAGGAAACCTCCAACAGAACCAGGCTCAGGAAGGGGCGGGGCCATCTGCCCCAGAAGTCAATTGATTGAACAAAGGAGATAGAGATACCAAACCACTGAGCAGCAAGTAAACACAAAATGCAGCTTCTAAATGAAGGTGTTTATTATTAAGGCCCTGTATGCAAAAAAGTGGCTCCCCCAGGTTATAACATAAATGAGCTGTGGTGTTTCACCTTTGGAAAGCTGAGTTCAACAGCCACACCCTGACCTGATTACTGCCACACCTGTTCTCAATCAAGAAATCGCTTAATAGGACCCGCCTGACAAAGAAAGGAAGATCCTCAAGAACCAGACATCATACTACGATCCAAGGACATTCAGGAACAAATGAGAAACAAAGTAATTGAGATCTCTCAGTCTGGAAAAGGTTATAAAGCCATTTCTAAAGCTGTGGGACTCTAGCGAACCACAGTGAGAGCCATTATCCACAAATGGTAAAAACATGCAATAGACGTGGAAAAAGTTGAAGTTTTTGAAAGGTGTGTCCTATTACATCTGGCGTAAAAGTAAAACAGCATTTCAGAAAAGGAAAATCATACCAACAGTAAAATATGGTGGTGGTAGTGTGATGGCTGGGCTGTTTTGCTGCCTCAGGATCTGGAAGACTTGACATAATTTCCTTAGAGATTAATAAAGCACTCTGATTCAGATTCTGAATCTTTGTGGTAATTCTGCTGTCTACCAAAACATCCTGAGGGAGACTGTCCACGACCTCAAGCTGAAGCACACTTGGGTTCTGCAGCAGGACGATGATCCAAAACACACCAAGTCCATCTCGGAATGACTTAAGAAAGACTAAATGAGGACTTTGGAGACGCTGTGGCATGACCTTCAAAAGGCAGTTCACACTCAAACCCTCCAAGTGGCTGAATTACAACAATTCTGCAAAGATGAGTGGGCCAAGATTCGTCCACAGCGCTATAAAACACTCATTGCCAGCTACTACAAACGTTTGATTGCAGTTATTGTTGCTTAGGGTGACTAGGGCTGGGCGATATGGCCTAAAATTCATATCACGGTATAATTTGAAGCATGTGCGGTAACGATATGCTTCGCGGAGTAATCTGGGTCCTAAACTCCGTCAGCTTCAGGTCCCAAAGTCAAACGAACACTAAGAGTTAAAAACGGTCTAAATGATTTCATCTTTAATAAAATCATTAGCGTTGCTGCTGTACCAGGTGTAACAATTAAGTTTAACATCCAGGCATCCATGAAAACAGAATTTATTAAATTTAACGGAGTTAGAAGTTAACAGGAAGTTAGCTCGCTAGTTTCCACCTAAACATTTCATAACATTTTCTGACTGAGAGATTTTTGAAACTAATTCAAACGTACAGCTCTGCTGCCACTTCCAACATAAATGAAGACAGAAACTAAACAGCAGTGGCGTTTGCAGGGTTACTGAAAGTTGGACTACCTGGTATATAATGTTGTGCTACGTGATTGCTACGTGATTGCTAGCGACACATTTTTCTTGTAAAACAAAGGGGGGCCCAGCAAAAAAGTTTGGGAACCACTGCTAAAAATAAAGGCTGAAGAAATTGTGTTCTCACAGAGCAGCCTCATTACTGAAGCACAAATAAATGTGCCAGTTCATTTTTCATTCATTCAGATGACTGGACATCAATTGATGCTACAGACTGTTAAGTTTAGTAGAAGAGCCTCGTGGCTCTGAGCTCATCCACCTTCTGCTCCGCCTTCAGCCCCTTACAGCTGTTATCAGCTTGCAGGTCTGTTTACCTGGCCTCGGGTCACTGACAGCCAGCCGCATGTTTGGTCGCTGGAGACAGATAAGGCGTCCACCTCCACCTACCTAACTCAAGACTTTATGACTCCCAGTATGTTTCTGAGTTCTGTGTGTGTGTGTGTGTGTGTGTGTGTGTGTGTGTGTGTGTGTGTGTGTGTGTGT